GAGATTCTAATGCATGAACCTAAGTCAGTTAACCTTCTTGGGCCTCAGTTTCCTCATCTGTAAAATGGAGAGTAGTAGAATAGATGGTTTCTGGGACCCTTTCTGGCTTTGGAGCCATGATCCCAAGGGGGCCTCAGTTTCCTCGTCTGTAAGATGGTCTAGATGGCTTCTGAGATCCCTTTTAACCTTTGACCTATGAACTCCAGTAATCGTGTCACTAGAGCCTGGACCTCTTCTCCTTCCTCTGCATGGCAGACAGCTTCAACAGAAGCTTTTCTGAGCCTCTGGCAGCCCCCTCTTTCATTTTTGGGCAGTAGCTGGCATGCTTGCCTCTCCTTCCCTGCTCAGTTGAATATTAAAAGAAGACAGAAAGATCACTGCGTCTTTTCGTCTGCTAGACCTCGACCTTATTCCCCTGCTTTCCCATCAGGCCTCGTCCTGCCTCCTGGAGCTCCCTTTTATTCCTTGCTCCCCCCGCCCCAGGCAATCATTAAGGTACAGATCCTAAGGATTGCTGCCCTCCTTGAATTCCCTACTTTTCTCCCTCATGGAGCCGTCCTCTATGTGACCTAGAAGGCCCTTTGATGATTCATATTTAGCTGGATCTATCACCCAACAGATGTCTGGGAAGTTAAAGGCTGCTACATCCGGTGGTTTCAGGTTCCTGGGTAGTTGGTTAGAAACCTTTCATTCGCCCTCCCCTCTTTCAGGGAGGGAGAGAAATGATCTGCAACAGATCCCCCTCTAGCCTTGGATGCCACCTTCCTTCTCAACTTGCATTTCCCTGATTCTATAAATTATTTGGCTGTATTTATAGCAGCCCTCCATGTTTTCTTCCCAATTCTACCTCTCTGGTATTCCTGTGAATCTCCCAGTTTGAGCGATCCCATTGTCCCTGTTACGCCGGTGTCTTTCAGACCCTCAAGCGTCCGCCTAGCCTGAGTTAACGTGTTGGTATCTCACCATCCTCTAGCCCACCAGGACACGGAGGTTGGCATGTCTTGGACCCCAGGGAAGAGAGTTTACGTAATGGAAGTGCCAGAAGCATAGCCCAATAGCCTGACTTCACTTGTGACATGGCCTTTTCCATAGATGCTGAAGATAGGACTTTGGGCGAATCATTTCCTGTGTTGTATTTCATTTCATCTATAAACGAGGGGGTTGGATTAAATATAATTCAATTCTCCAACATATCAAGGTGCTTCTGGTGGATGCTCATCACTGGGTGACATGACTGAAGAGCCCAGATGCTCTTCCAGGGCCCCAGAAGAGGGTGGCTAGTCGTCACCATCAGTACCCAAGCTCTGCTTTGCTCTGGGGCCTCGCCTGGCTCTCTGTGCTGCTGATTTTACCCCTAGACTCATCCCAGCTCTGGGTTCTCTCCTGCTCTCCCCAGTGCTTAGCTTTCCTGGCACACGGAAGGCAGCTTGCCATTCGGTTCTCTGGGACACAGATGGTCCATCCCACGCTCATCACTAATTAAGATCACATGTGGCCCCTTCTTTGCTGGAGGTTCCTTTCAGGGGCTCTGCTTGCAACTATGGGCTGGAGAGGACTGTTGAGCATTGACATTTATGGCGTTGAGACATGAGGGCAGTTGGGGGAGACTCCGGGGCAGGTGCCAGGGACCAAGTCAGCCAGAAATCGGAGGCTTTGGTGATGCGGTGCAAAGACTGCTGAGTTTAAGTCAGGAGACCTGAGTCCAAATGCTAGCTCTTCTACTCACTGCCTCTGTGATCTTGTGAGAACCATTTGACCTCTTCAGGGCTAAGTTTCCTGCTCTGTGGATTAGGGGATCTCTGAAGTTCCTTTTGGGCAGCCAGGTGGTGCAGTAGCTAGAGCTACGGGCTTGGAATCAGGAAGGCTCATTTCCATGAGTTCAAATCTAGCCTCGGACACTTAGTAGCTGTGTGACCTTGGACAAGTCACTTCACTCTCGTTGCCTCAGTTTCCTCATCTGTAAAATGAGCTGGGAAAGGAAATGCAAACCCCTCTAGCATCCGTGCCAAGAAAACTCCAAAATGGGGCCACCAAAAGTTGCGCATGACTGAACAGTAAGAGGAGACTAGATCTGTGGTCCTTGAACAAGTTATCTCATCTCTCTGGGCCTTGGTTTCCTCTGGAAAATGAAGGAGTTGATTAGTTGACTCCTTTGGTCCCTTCCAAATCTGGGTCTGCTATCAAGCGTATGTCCTTTGGCCGAAGGGTCTCTGGGGTCCCTTCCTGCTCTCTTATCTATGTTTTAGTGAACTTTCGAAAGAATGGTTCAAACTGGATGGATCATTTCCTTTTTGTCCTTGTATCCTCAGTGCCTGACACAGTGCTTAGAATACAGTAAGTATTTAATCAATGCTTGTTGACTGATTGGTTAAATGCATTGGCCATATGAATCTTTTAGAACCGAATATAGCAGAGTCCAAGGTAACATTGCTTCTACTTTCTATGAAGAATGGTGGTTTTAAATGTGACCCAGAACGGTAGGGTTCTTTGGTAAAGAAAACAATGAGATGTTTTGATGGAAGAATAAGACTGAGGCTGAGGAGACCAGAGGATGGTGCTTCGATGCTGGAAGAAATTGACCTAGCATTTTAGGAGGCATGGAGGTAAAATCAGGACTTTTCCTGAAATTCCCACAATAGTGGGAAATTGAAAAGTGGAAGTTGTCCTGTATGGCGCTGTTGGGACAGGTCATGGCTTGCGCATTCTCCCAGGGCATGTGTCTCACTTCCTCTTCGAGAAGGTCAGGATTGTACAGATGGTGGCAGGTGGCCTAGGCTGTCCATTGGCCTTCCCTGATATGTCCCCACAGGGAATTAGTTCCTGGGAGTGTTGACTGGAACTTCACCTTCTCAGATGTCTTTTGAAAGTAGAATTGGTTCATCATTAGCTGATAGCTGAAAATAAATGTTGCAGGCATAGAATCTCTGAGCAAGAAGGCTCATCCAGACCAGGACGTCAGGCAATGAGAATCCGCTCCACAGCATGCCTGACCAGTGGCCGTCCAGCCTCCACTTGAAGCCTTCGTCAAGAGCAAACCCATAACTCGGTCAGGCGGCTCATTCCTCTTTAGGGCAGCTCGAAAGGTTAGGAAGTTTTTCCTGGCGTCAAGCCTAATGGGCCTCGTTATAATTTCCATCTCTAACTCCTGGTTCTGCCCTCTAGGGCTAAGCAGGAAAGACTAATCTCCTTTCCACATAAGAGCCCTTCACCATATCTGAAGACCCTGAGCTTCCCCACCCCTGCCCCCCAACCAAGACTTCTCATCTCCAAGCTCAACATTTCTAGCTCCTTCTGCAGATCCCTACATTGCACAATCCCTGTTGTTCTCCTCTGGACATTCTCCAGCTTAACCATGTCCTTCCCAGACTTCGGGGGCTGGAAGTGAATACTCCAGGTGCAGTCTGAGCATGGAGAACAGCAGCTGGAGTCTTGCTTTCTTAGTCCTGGCTGGGAAGAATCTTTTTATGCAGCAAAGGGAGACACGGTGGGAAAGGGAGAAAGAATTATCGCCTGAGTCAAGGGATGATACCGATTTCTTTGTACTTCATCTACAGGAGGGACGGGGAGGGGCTGTGTGTGTGTGTATGTATGTGTGTATATGTGTGTGTGTTTGTAAGTGTGTGTATATGTGTGTATGTGTGTGTATGTGCATGTGTGTGTGTATGTGTGTGTTTAACATCTCTGGTTGTCTTTAGGATATGCATTTCTTATAAATTTGTGCCATTTGTAAATAATTCAGTCTAGGCCCGAGACAGTATGAGATTCCCTCCCACTTTCCCTCCCATCTTTCTAATTTCTTCATTGAATTTCTCAGAGAGCCGACTAGATGGCGCAGGGGATAGAGCTCTGGAGCTGGAATCAGGAAGACTCAGCTTCATGAGTTCAAATCTGGCTTCAGACACTTTACTAGCTGTGTGACCCTGGGCAAATCCCTTCACCTGTTTGCCTCAGTTTCCTCATCCATCAAATGAGCTGGAGAAGGAAATGGCAATCCACTCCAGTATCTTTGCCAAGAGAATCCCAAATGGGGTCATGAAGGGTCAGACGCGATGGACCGACTCAACCGCAACAAAGCTTTATGACCTTGAGGAGATCACCTAACAGCAACAAAAGTGCCAGAAATTAGATTCTTCCAAAGAACTTTTTTTTTCTTTTCTTTTCTTTTTTTTTTAAGCATATGGATGGGTTCTGGACTTGGGCATAGGTGGGATGGGTTCTGGACTTGGGCATAGGTAGGATGGGTTCTGGACTTGGGCATAGGTGGGATGGGTTCTGGACTAGGGGACAGGCAAGATAGGTCCAAGTCCAGTGCCCTATCTACAGCATTATGCCACTTCCTCATGTTGACCCTCTGAGAAGATCTCTGTACCTGCACTAGGTTCACAGGCTTAGGAAGTTGAAGGAAACTTAAAGGTCCCCTAGACCAACCCTCCCCACTCATTTTGCAGACAAAGAGACTGGGGCCCAGAGGAATGAATAAATATAAAAGCATTGAATAAGTGCTTGCTTTGTAGCAGGCATTGGGGTTACAAATACAGAAATCAAGTCAGTCCCTGACCTTGAGGAGCTGACGTTTTCATGGGGAAGGACAGCACAAGTTGGGGGAGGGGTGGCCAGGATGCAGATTTCAAACTGTCCTTTCTTCAGGGGTCTCGTGGCCCCCACTTCCCTTCCTTCTGAGATTGTCTTCCATCGATGTCGTACATACTTTGTGTGTCTAGAGTTTGTGTCTTGTCTCCCCCGTTAGAGTGTAATCTCCTTGAGGTCAGAGACTATACTTTTTTCCTTTCTTCGAATCCCCAACACTGAGCACAGTCTCTGGCATATAGGAAGTGCTATAACAAATGCTGTTCCATTGTTGACTGACTGGCTGGTGTCCAAGGGTAATTAACTGACTTTTCCTTTCCAGAAATGGTGGTTGACTTGACTGTACCTAGAGCAAAGCAGTGGAAGGGAGGGAAGGTCCTATAAGTAATTAGTGGTACTACTGGGATTTGAACCCAGGTCTTCAAACCTAGCCAGCTTTTCACTGGACCGAGCTGCTGCCACAGGTGGCCTGATATCTTCTGTCTTGGTCGTAGTCTCTGTGGTGTTTCTTTTCTGGTGGCTCCAGTTGCCCCTGCCAAGAGCATTCAGGGGGAAGGAGGCAGAGGAGACCCTGTTCCTTGCTAGAGCTAATAGCCACCTCAGTCCCAGCCAGTGGGCTCCTGGTCACTTCTGGCCTTCTGGGTAGGCATGGTCAATGCAGTCAGGAAAGGGATGATCCCCATGCAAGTGGAGTAGAATTCACAGCCACACACACCTGGCCAAAAGGAAGAGTTAGGAGGTTTTGAAGAATTTCCTTTTCTGGTGGGTCCTGCCCTCTCTCACTGGTTTGCTGAAGGCACTGCCCATTTGAAAAGGAAGGCAGTTAAGAGGTGAGGGGACTAGAGAGCCAGCAGATGGGGGAGGTGGATGCTGTTCTGGCAATCGATGAGGTCCACCAGGAGGGGCTACATTTTAAGACTCTCTGGCAAAGGGACTTCCGTGTTCTAATCTGTCATTGAATAGTGAGATCAGTGGGTCTATATTTGTCATTATTACTTCAAATGACATGTCATTTACATAATATATACACCATATTAAGTATTCTGCATGTTACATAACACACACACTTATTATATAAGGTTGGTCTGGCGAGAGGCTCCTGCTTTCTGCCAAACGTTTCCCAACTTATTCGGCAATTTTAATGTATCTTTTCCATCTGTGGAAAGAACTCTCTTGAGAGAAGCTAGTGACTGTTCACCTTCCATCATTTACATTCTTAGGTCTCTGAGGGCTCCCAAGGATGATAAAACCGTCTTGGGAGGCAGCCCCTTCCTGCCCACCTGTTCACAACAACAACATCTCAAAGCACATCAGTTTCATTCTTAGTACCATGGAGAAAGGAGGGCAAGCTTGGAATGTGTGCCTGTGGTGTTGTGTGCAGTTTTTGTTTTTAGTTTTCAAAGCTGGATAAAATAATGGCCACAGAATTTCTGTAAAGTCAATAGCATAGGAAGACAGGTGTTGTGGGAATTGGTGACTGTCTACTTGGGGAGGATTTGTGGAATGAATCTCAAGCAATGTGGTGTGGTAGAAAGCACACTGGACATGAAGTCTGTGCTTTGTAATCTGAGTCCCTGACTTGTTGATATGTGGTGGAACCCTTCACCTTTCTGGGTCTTAGTTTCTTCATCTATGAAATGGGTGAGATTGGACTAGATGATCTCTTACTAATAGAACAAAAGCTTCTTGAGGGCAGAGACTGTTTGGGTTTGTTTTGCCTTTGTAGCTCCTCTGTCTATCACACTGCTAATACAGGGCCAAGATTTGAGAAATGCTTGTTGAGTGAATGAATGAGTAAGAAACATTACTGCCCAACACTTACTAGCTGTGTGACCTTGGGCAAGTCACTTAACCCCATTGCCCAACCCCCACCCCCCCAAAAAGAAACATCACTGCCTATGAGAGCAAGGCACTCAACCTCCTTAGTTCCCTCATTTGTAAAATGATGGGGTTGGACTGGGTGTCCTCTTAGGTCCCTTCTAGCTCTAGGTTGATTATCCTGTGACTTTTTAGGGCCTCAATGTCCTCATCTGTAAAATGAGCTTGTTAAACTCCACAGGTCCTTTCAGCTCTAGATCAATGATCCTCAGATATTATCCCCTTCAATTCTCTATTTACCCATCTATCATCTATCTATCATCCAGTTATCCAACCATCATCTATTTTTATTTATCCATCTATCTCAATCCATGTATCCATCCATCCATCCATTTATCTATCCATTCATCCATCCATCCATCTATCTATCTACCTATCTACTATCTATATATCTATTGCTTGTTCATTCTATCTATCCAGTCATCTATCTGCCTATCTAGTCACCTATCTATTAATTTTTTGATCTATGACAATACTCTCAATCACTCCTTCTACTCAGTCATCTATCTATCTATTTATCTATCTATCTATCTATCTGTCTGTCTGTCTGCCTGTCTGTCTGTCTAGTTATCTATCTAGCCAGTCATCCATTCATCTACCCATCCATCCATCCATCCATCCATTCATCTATCTATCTACCTATCTAGTCATTTGTCCATTTTTAAAAATCTGTAATAAGTAAAACTCTAAATCCTGACTGTGAGATGTCTGCAACAGTCTCAGTCTCAAATACTCAGTCTCAAGATCAGCTTCTCATTTGTAGGGCTCTGAAAATTAGGTTTTCTTCTTAACAAACCACCTGTAGGAGGTTTGGGAGCAAGGCTGGAATACACATGTGCCTAGGCAAGAGCTTTTCTGAAATTCTTAGCAGCAGGACCTCCTGGGATCTGAATCTCCCTCGACTTCAGAATACAATGGTCATGGAGCCAGCCTTTACTTAGCTGCAGGCCTATCATTTTAATCTGGATTTCAGTCCAGGTACCAAGTGTACTGCAGTTGCTGTAGCAGGGGTCCTCCTTGCTGGAAATCTCTAAGCAGAAGCTGGCTGACCATTCATCAGGAAAGTTGGAGAATTTTTCTCTAGATATAGGTTGGACTAGGAAGTTTTTGAGGTTCCCTCCTGATCTGGGGTGCTATGATTCATCCCCAGATTCCCACACACAGCCACACTGCTGGGCTGGGTGTAAAAGGCCTCCATGGAGAGAGAGGATGTGTTTTAGCCCAAGGCTGATTACAGGTACATTTCATAGTCATCACATCCACAATCTCTGGTTCTTGTTCTCTCAAATTCAGGCTCAACTTGTGTCCAAAGTCCTGCTTCCCTTCTCCTAGTCTCAGCCTCCTGTTGTTGGAGAAGGAGACACTAGGCAGAGTAGCATTCCAGTGTGTTGTCTTACCCTCTTAGAATGTAAGCTTCTTGACGGCAGAGACCATTTAGGTTTTCTGTTTATATCCTCAGCCCTTAACATAGTGCTTGACACTTAATGGCACTATGACACTTAATATGATGCTTTCCATTCATTCATTCAATCATGTATTAGTCATTCCTTGGGAGATATCTCTGAGCAGGGCAAATTCATCCTTGATTGAAGCTTGGTTCCAATTTTAAACTAGAGGAAAGAGAAAACTTTTGGAATCAACTTTGGGTCATTGAACTCTGCTGAAATCCCTCCTGTCTTGCCCCGGAAGTCTGAAGATGTCCCTGGATGAAGTTTCTCATTTCCTTGTCTCTCTAAGACAGGGCTTCATAACCTTTTTTTAATGTCTGGGACCTCTTTGGCAGTATCGGAAGCCTATAGACCCCCTCCTCTGAATAATGTTTTTAAATGTATAAAATAAAATATTTAGGATTATGAAGGAAACAAATTATATTGCAGTAATTATCAAAAAAACTTTTTTTTAAATGTCCATAGACCCCAGGTCAAGAATCCCTGCTCTAAGAGGACACGGTGCCTCAAAAATCACTGCCACCAGTGGTTTCTACCACGAGGAGAGTAAATAGGGGAGTTAATTGACTTTCTTACACTACAGTTCTGTTACAAAACATAATTTCCTCCAGCTCTGGACTGAGGAGCATTTCTGTCTTAAAGCAGACCTGGGATCCAGGCCTTTACTTCCTAAGGCCAGCCTCAGTGATTGACTGACCAGATTGGCTGGTAAATGTTTTCCCACGTGAAGCTGATCTGGATCTATGATAGTAGTCCAGATGGGTCCTATTCAAACTCCAGGGTTCTTTGCTTTACTAAAGATCTTTGCCCTCCCTCCTCACCCCCAGCATGTCCATCTGAAAAGGATATAAACCATAAGCTCAGGAGAGATTACTCTTTATGGCCCCCAATCCTTGTGATCACTAGAGGGAAGTATGTGATGGCAGAATCTTTGGTTGGGGCCGAGCGTGGAAGAAATCTATTGCCCATTGAATGCAAACCCAGCAAAGGAACCCAATTTGGAATTTTTAATCTTAAACTGAGTACCCCAAATCAGGTCCTGGGAAAACGGTGTGAAAGAGGTCATTTGGGAGGAGGGAGGATGTGTGCCATGTTGAAGGGAGAAAGAGATTCAGGGACTCATCCTAGCACCAAAGGAGCCCATGGGGTTCTTAGTAGCCTCTAAAGTTGGTGCCCTGGGCCGTGTCTTAGCTATGGGATCCATAGGTTGAGAGCTGGGAGAGACTTCAGACTATCCTGTCCAGCCCTCTCTGTTGCTGATGAGGAAAATGAGATTTAGGGAGGTGACTTCTCAAGTCCTGATTCAAATGAGAGAGGCAGAATTCGAACCCAGTTCCTCTGACTCCAGTGTGGTTCTTCCCACACAAATACAACTACTATTCATTCTTTTTCATTCTCTCTCCTCCTTGTTTCTCTCTCCTCCTCCTTCCGTCTGTCTCTCTTTCTCTTTTTTCTCTCTGTCTCTGTCTTTTTTCTGTCTGTCTGTCTCTCTCTCTCTCACACACACACACACACACACACACACTCCCTTCTTTCACTACATTGGCCTTTCTCAATCAATTTAAGTCTATAAATAAATATATAAATAAAAACCCCATCGGGAGAGGAGGAGAGGGGTGTGTGTGTGTGTGTGTGTGTGTGTGTGTTAGTAAGCAAACGAGTTGTCTGCTGGCGTGTGCTGAATCCCACTTCCTCCCTCTTCTGTGTTTTTCCTGCCTCTCTCCCTCTTTGCCTTTCTCCCTTTGTCCCTCTTTCTTTTTTCGTCTCTCCTTCCATCTCTCCCTGTCTCTCTCTCAGCACCAAGCCTTGGAGCTCCAGCAGGAAACCTGGTTTGTCTTGAAGTAGTGAGAAGGCAGTGGTAGGAAGGTTTTCACGTTGTGCTGTTATTACACTGTTTGGCAAAATAAAGCCTCGGGTTTTTCTGCCTCCCACCCAGGTGTTCAATGGCTAAGAAATCGAAGACCTGCCCTGCAGTGTGTGGGGCTGCCCAGGCAGCTGGCCTGCTCCCAACAGACCCTGCCTGGTGGAAAGGAGTCTGATAAGCGCTCCAACTGACAGCGTTCTCTGGACCCAGAAGGCTCCCCAGCCTCTGACTCCCATTGCTGCCTTCTCAGAAAACTGCCGGGAGCCGTGTTGGAGCTCAAATGACGACCAGGAGACGAACATACGCTTGCCGGCCTTTGCCAGGAGTCGTGTTCTGAGCCCTCGTGGGCAATTTTGAATCCGCACAGATGGAGCTTTGTCCAACGTCTCTGGCCTGGGGGTGGCTGGGAAGGGGGGGAAGCTTTGGTCTTGTCTTTCAGCTCAGTCTGGATTCTGCCACCTGTGAGGAGCACTCTGTTGGCTCCGTGTGGGCCCTCTGGGGTGGACGGTGGCAGGTGGGCAGATCAAGGCACCTACCTCTAAAGGGAAGCCACCTGGGGCCTAGCAGGAGTTGGGGGGTCTGGTGGACAAGGGTGTCCTCTGAGCCCTGAGCCAATCAAGAAGCTATTTTCGCTCAGCAGTCCTGGATATTGCCACCCCCAGTTTGGAAGCAGACAGAGCCAGATGAGATGGAGGTTTCTGTCCCGTTGAATGCCCTCTTTGCCTCCATTATTTGAGGGTGGGGTGTGCGTGTGTGTGTGTGTGTGTGTGTGTGTGTGTGTGTGTGTGTAGACTTCAAGTACTCCTCCTCCACCTCCTGGGTTGGCTTGGGGCCTT